TGTAGACAGACAGACAGACAGACAGACAGACAGACAGACAGATAGACAGACAGATAGACAGACAGACAGACAGATAGATATTGTGTATATGTTCAGCTTTTAGCACATGATGGTGCACATTTGCTATAGAAGCAGGATGACTCACATCAGATGTTGGCTCAACCTCAATTTGTAGCAAGGGACTCCCTTTGGTACTGTGAGAAGAGAAACAGAACATGTGTTTGCTCAGGGAGGGTCATTTACCTCAGCAGAGCAAACCGAGGTTTCATTTTCAAGGACCTATAATCTCATTTAAATCCATTGTTTACTTTATGCCATCTGAAAGGATCACACAAAAAATTATGCATGTTCACCTTCATATTTTTAGCTTGAACAAAAGCTGTTCAGACAAGCTCTGCTTAGTGTGCTGCCTACATAAAATAAAATAAAATAAAATAGGAGATTTAGTGTCTAAAATGTACCCTGGATGACACTCTATTACATGTCTGTGTTAAGAAATGTGTTTGTTAATACACTCCGACCCTTGTTTGGGTTGAAAAATATGTGAGGACAGTGCTGGAAAGAGTCCATGTATGCATACATGCCTGTTCACAGTTTTACTCTACAGCTATCAAACAACTAATGTCAGCTGCATTATAATTCTCCATAATGAAAAACATACTGCTGTCTGAACTACAGAAACTAATATCCAGTTTTTTTTTTGTGTGTGTAGTTAATGCATCTTGATTCAGTTAATTAAAAATAGTATTTTTCTTTATGGGTCTCTGAGTTTTTCAAAACATCCATGGATACGCTTGACATCATCACTGTAGCGTAAACTCAAGCCCCACTCTTTGTTTAGCCCAAGTTTGTGTGTGTGTGACTTGTCTTCAGTCACATCAGCTTTTGCACCACAAATATTTTTGCTCTAATAATTCTGTAATCTAAAATGCTCATATCAGCCATAAATAGACAAAAGCCTTGGCAAAACTGTCTGACATGTCTGTGGCCTTTCACTGGGAATCGCTCTAAATACACACACAAACACACAAAGTACAGGACAGAACATGACATTTCAGACACATTTGTATATTAATAAACAACGTTAAGTGGTCTTGGCATGTCATTATAAGTGTCACAAAAGAGATAATTGCACAATTACAGCATTTGACCTCCATCTAAAGGAGCAATAGAGCATCATAACTACATTTCTGTCAGGACCACTATCGTCAAAGATGATTGACAATTAGCATACAGTTAGTTTAATTAGCTATTGAGCAATGCGAAAACTGCTGATACTACTGCGGGACCTTATATATGAATACTTAGATAGGTGTCATATTCCCATAGGTTGATGGGGATCAGCTGAGAGTCAGCTGATGCGAGCTTGACTAACGTGACCTGCCAGAACTGACGCTACGCTAGATTTTATGCTACTAATTTTTGCATTCAGATAATGGGACCTTATTGTAAAGTGTTACCATGCTATTTAGTCACCATTATTGATTTACATGCATTTGCACTTTAGTTCCAAATCCCAGTGAGCTCTACATAGACAGACTGATGTCATCATGTTTAAATGTGTTCTAAAATGTCAAATCAACAAACTCACATACACATAAACACGCACACACTTACCCAGGTTCAGACAGAACAGGGTGTAGAATGACTTGAGGGGCCCTGGTGGGAGCCTCAGGGGCCACATCTACAAAGAGAAAGTGAGACGGTAAGTCACAAGGCAGAGATGAGAGAGAAAATGACATAATTTGTAAAAGAGTGTATTATTATAGACTAAGTTCATCACAACATGCAGGAGTACTGCTGAGAACAACAACTCTGATTTACACCAAAACAGAAGCTGTTTACACTGAGAGAAAAAAAATTGATGTAGAAACTATTTTTACTCAGAAAATTTTATTTTCTTGAAAAACACACTCCAAAAATCTTCAAATAAATATTCTTTAAAAGAAAAAAAGAACTCAAATAATTTTCTACATGTACCTATACTACACAAACATCTGAAGCCATTCACTGCTGTTTAAAAATTTGTGGTCGATAAGTTTTTTTTGGAAAGAAATGAAATGTTTATTCACTGAGGATGGATTAAATTGATTAAAAGTGAAAGAAAACATTCAATGTTTAAATAAATGTTGTTCCTAAAATCACAGTTGCCACAAAAATATTAATCAGCACAATTGTTTTCAATCATTGATAATAAGAGATGTTACTTCAGTGCCAAATCAGCATATTAGAATGATTTCTGAAGGATCATGTGACACTGAAAACTGGAGTAATGATGAAGAAAATTCAGCTTTGCATCACAGGAATAAATTAGATTAGAAATTAGAAAACTTTGTAATGATATTTCTCAATATTACCAATTTTACTGCATTTTTGATCAAATAAATGCAGCCACAATGAGCATAAGAGACTTCCTTTGAAAAACTCTTACTGACCTTAAACTTTTGAACAGTAGTGAGCGCATACATGTATATATATTATTTACTGTTGTTCCAGGCAACAGATTTCCTACATAGCTGTAGGAAAGATTTTATACATAATATAAACAATCCAAACAACACTGAGTGTCCATTGATTTATTTTTGTAAGCAAGCAACATACTGCACTGTCAGCCACTATCCCTTACATACTACACAAATATATGATGCTCTATAGTTAGGAAAGATGAAACCCAAGAGGATTCTCATTTAACAAACACTTTCCATTAAAACATAAACAAATTGTTTTACCTAATGGACAAAACTGGCCGTGTGTTCCCTGCTGTAAGGTACAATGGTGACTGATCTCAGCAGCTCACCTCGACATTGGAATAAACCGGCAAATTTGGCATCAATAGCCTTTATTCTAAACTATCAGGCTACCAACACAACATGGCTTTCCTCCCTCCACACATTCATCAAACACATGCAGCAAGCTGAGTGCCTCCCACAGAATACAGACACTTGTCAGCCTTTATTTGTCAGCGAGGCGCAGGCGACCTCGTCTTTAAAAGAACCATCATTAGACAATACAGCATTGCTGGTTAAGAGGCGACAAGAAGAAGAGCAAAGAAAGACAGAGGGAGAGGGAGGGGGTTTGTTGCGCCTCAAAGAAAAGACGGCATAAAAAATGACATCAAAAAAGTTTGCCTTGGCATGTCGCACTGCATTATGGGTAGGGGTAATGACCAATTATGACACACTTACCAGGGAAGATGAACTGCTGCTTGAATTTGTAGAAATGAGATGCTGAGAAAAGCACAGGAGAGAAGCAGACAGAATTCAATCAAATTCAACACACCCCAGATGCTTATTGGTCTGTGTTATTGTTCTGCAAAATCCATCACAAAGATGCATTTGCCATAAAAATAGTGACTTATAGGATACACAAGGGTCCAAAAGTCTGAAACCACACTGAAAATCTGAGATTCAACGTTTAATAAATAAATCAAATAAAGAGAAGTAAACAGAACATTTTATGATTTTGAAAAATGTATAACAAAGAAATTTTGTGATTTAAATGTTTAATATTTAAATATTGAGATATTTAGATTTCTGCACTGTTATCACTAATCAAATTCAGGATGTCATGTGAACTCAAATTTTCTGGCACAGGATGTTCTTTGGTTCATGTCAGTTTGACTGCTGCTTATATTAAGTGCTGTCATAACTGAAAAGCGGGACATTTAAAACAGAACTCCAGACCATGATTTGAATGATTGCAAATGCACTAGGAAATTAAAATGGCACAAGTGCAACAATTTAAAGTCTGGTTGCCGTTGGCAACATTTGAGAAAACTTATTGCGTGTCAGTATAAGCAGATCTGATTAGACTGCATACTAGTGTTTTCTGCACGCAATGCAGCAACAAACACAGCACGGGTAGTACGGAGCCCCTAAAGGGACATGGTGGTGGGAAAAAAAATCGGGGTGGGAGGAAAAAATATTTTTCAAATGTTTCGCGTTCTCTCGCAAAACTTTTGCATTCTTTCGCAAAGATATTTGCGTTCTCTCGCAAAACCAGTTGAGTTCGGACAAACTCGTCCTGTTTACTTTACAGCTTGCAGTTCATAAGACGCTTAACGCGGCTTAATGGAGATGAAAAAAAAAGACCAAATATGCTATATTATATATATGTATTAAAAAATATGTCACCTACTGTATACATTCAAGCCCAAAATATGAGCTGAATAAGCGTTTTCTCTCCCATAGAAAAGGGTGCTTAACGTGACTTAGTATAAAAAAAAATCAATGATAAAAAGTGATAAAAACACGTGAAACTGTGCGTTCCATTATGGGCTCATCTGCTTTTCTGTGTATGAACCACTGCAAGCTGCAAAGTAAACAGGAAGAGTTTGTGCGAACTCAAGAGAATGCAAATATCTTTGCGAGAGAACGCAAAAGTTTTGCGAGGGAATGCAAGGTTTCTCAAGGGGACGTAAACGTTTTGTAAAATATTTTTTCCTCCCACCCCGGTTTTTTTCCACTACCATGTCCTTTTAGGGGCTCTGTAGGCCTACAGGTAGTGATGTCCGATTTGTGGGAAAAAAAAAAAAAATCACCATTTGAATTGGTTTTTATTAATGAGTCAGTCAAAAAGATTCAAAAACAGTGCAAGTTAGCAGTCTGAATCAAAATCAGTCAGTGAATCGTTTAGAGCTCACAACTAGCACGGTTCAGCACAGTACAATTGCTACAGTACCTGTGCTCAACTGTGCCTGTAGTGAAATGATGATGGTTTTCTAGTATAACACAGCATTTCTACAAGCCTTTCTCACAGCAATGTAAGTTATGCTAACTAACTCATTAAAACTTATACAATGCATCAATGTACTGTACTAACCATTTAATACTATGTATGTTTAATACTAAATATCCTTTTAAGCAAGTCTTTCATATTCTTTTACTTCAATATGATGTGATGATCCACTGTAGCCCGCTTGCATCAATTAACATTATAATAGTTTTAATTTTACCTAAAGTATCATGCTGTTGCTCTTACATCACAAAGGTTACATACACTATAATAATAAATTTGCAGAATCATTTTTTGTAGTTTTGAGACCAGTTTGGCCAATGGTTGAAAAAGTGTTTTGTTTATTTTTTCCAAAAAGGCAGAAATACTATAACAAAATAGATTGATATTGATACTGTATATGGCACAAATAAGGATCATTAGAGTACAGCACTAAAATGGACCAATTTATACTTCATAAAGTCCTTATATATCATTTAAATCATCCTCGTTATTATACAAATCATTATTTCCATATTTTTTTTCCTGAAGCTCAGCCATATACTAAGAGAGTCTAAAATCCACTCAAATGCATTGATATTTTCTAATTACATTGTTTTATTAACATACAGAAATGATAAACATAAGCTTTGTATTTATTCCTTGTGCAGTGCTGAAAATGACAAATGTCCAAAAAAAAAAATTTAAATTGCTTACAAATCTCTTATTATGCTACAGCATATTATCACCAAATCTTTGATTCAATCTTTTTGTCAAGTCGTTTTCTTTCAATTATTTAAATTTCAATTCAATTTTTTCTTTTTGAGACTTATTGAACATAGGCCTCATTGATCTGAGCCTATGCGCCCTATTTTCAGGGTAAAAAAAAAACAAACTATTTTTGGATAATTTTGGCAAAATTCACTCAAAAACTAAGCTCAGTTCACTGAAGCCTATGATCAATCAGTTTCAAAATGAAATAAAAAAAAACTATGCTAATAGAAAGAAAACAACGTGATAAAAGGATTTAATCTAATATTTGGTATTTAATACTGCATAAAAAGACATTTATAAGCAAATTGTTTAATAAGGTGTAATAATTATTTTTTTTGTGTGTGAAGATACCATATGTGAGCAAATCAGTAGGTGTTAGTCCAATGTGATAATATTAACTAGCATTTTCAGCAAAAAAAATAAAAAAATCTCTGGGTCAAAATACAATTAATAACACAGTTTAAGCATTAAGCAATTATTATTTGAAATTCTGTAGAAATTTCAGCGACAGCAGAGACACTCGGAGCCTGTGGCAGGGGATACAGACCATTACGGACTACAAGCCCCCACCACGCACCTGTGACAGCACCATCTCCCTGCCGAACGAGCTGAACGTCTTCTTCGCTCGCTTTGAGGCACAAAACAGCACCACTGCACAGAAGACTCCACCTAAGAATTGACAATAAAGCAGACTTGACTTGACTTGACTTGAAAAGATTCTGCGGAATCATTAAATTAGGCACACTTTTACAGAATTAACAACAACGTATAAACATATGTTTTGGGTCGGTACCTGTAAGGTTGGACTGTTTCTGCTGTCTGGCGCTCTGCGGGGAAGGGTGCAGAGGAGATGGGGGCGTTGCGCTGGGCGGCAGAGGGGGTGCAGGAGACGACGGGGTGGAGGAGGTGGTTGAGGAGGGGTTACTGCTGGAGTCGGGCTGATACGGCACAGGGATGTGGTCCTGAAACAGAGACAGTCAAACCTTTTGTAACACACAAAAACACTCCCTACTCTCTGCTCATTACCGGCGCGGTCAGACATCAGTAAACCCGGCTTCATTCTAACGGTCAGTTAAAGATTCATCCAAAACCAGGGGTGTGGCGGCTGTAGACCTGATCTCCCATTGGCTGAAAACTGGACAGCCGTGCTACGTTTGAAAATACTGCCCAACGTCGTGTTAGAAAGAGGAGCACATCAAAAGCCAGCAGTGTTGTCATAAAGCATGATTGAGTGGCATATGTATTTGAGAAGACAACAGAAAGCCAAAAATATGTCAAGACTCTATGCTCTGCCAGTCATTAAAAGGCTTTTTGACTTCTATTTTTGCTGCTCAAGTGTCACAAATTGAGTCTGAGGTTTTGGGAAAACCAAAAGTTATCAAATATAATGCAATATAAAACCAACTGCATTTGAGATAAACAATAACAATTAGCTCACAAGTTTTAAAGCTGTAATGTCAGATGATTGTCATGCGGTCGTGGCGGGCACCCTGGAGACTGGTGCAGGACTGGAACAGGGCGGAGACAAGGAGAGCCTCCAGCGCGGGAGCCATGGCGGATCAGGAGACTCAGGAGGCCATGGCGGATCAGGAAACTCAGAAGGCCATGGCGGATCAGGAGACTCAGGAGGCCATGGCGGATCAGGAGACTCAGGAGGCCATGGCACCCCCTCCAAAAACAAATTTTCTTGGGGAAAACTAGGAATTCTGGAGGGCGCGCTGGAGGAGCGGGCACTTGAGGGCGCTCTGGTGGAGCGGGCACTTGAGGGCGCTCTGGAGGAGATTCAGAGACTGTAGCCCTCCTTGGGCTAAGCACAGGGACAGGAGCCCTCACTGGGCTAAACTCGGGGACAGGAACCCTCACTGGGCTAAACGAGGAATCAGGAGCCCTCCCTGGGCTACAGGAGCCCTTCCTGGGCTATACTCGGGAACAGGGTAGCGCTTACGTGGTGCTGGCACTGGAGGGAGCTCTGGAGGAGCAGGCACAGCAAGGCGCTTTCGAGGAGTGGGCACTGGAGCAAACTTAGGGGCTGGAGCCGACACTGGAGCGAGCTCTGGGGCTGGAGCCGACACTGGAGCGAGCTCTGGGCGGGAGTGAGCCACGACCGACAGGCTTGACTTTGGAGTGGCCAGCGGGCTTGCCACAGAAACGGCCGGCGGGCTTGCCACAGGAACGGCCGGCAGGCAGGAAAGAGCCGTGGCCGGCGGCCTTGACTTCGGCGTGGCCGGCGCGCTAGACTTCTGAACGGCCGGCGGGCTTGACTGAGGAACGGCCGGCGGAGGAGTCCCGGATCGGAATCGGAGGCTCTCCAGACACCGGATGACTGCCTCCTTCCAGTCGAAGTTGGTGGTGTCTGGGAGCTCCGTGGGGCGATGGTAAGTAATCCCGATCCGGAACAGCGTCACAAGGGTTTCCCCCTCGAGGGAGCTAGCGAGGGCGAGCGGCACGAACGCCCTCGCGTAGACGATCGGGTCGGGGTTCGCCTGTGCCACGGTGATTAACCTCGCTCGTTCCTCCATTTATGTCGTCGTTGTCAGTGACGGTCCTGGATTCTGTCATGCGGTCGTGGTTGTAGCAAGAGAGTGCACGAGGAAGGAGTAAACGTAGGGATACTTTAATGAACATCAACACACAATAACCATTGAAAATAACATTAATCCAGGACAAAAGAATGACAGATACTGAGGGCTTATAAAGGGCAGGCAACTAAGGAGCAAACTAGATGATTGATACAACACAGGTGGGAACTAATGAAAGATGATTAACTAAATGAGCAGGAAATGAACCAAATAGGGGCAAACAGGAACTAGACAGAAACTTACACGTGACTGATAAGGATATTAACTTTTTCTCTTCACTGTCATAACCTGGAGAAATGATCCTGAAAATTGCAGCATTGCATCACAAGAATAAATTATATTTTAAAATGCATTAAAATAGAAAATGGCTATTTTAAATTGTAATATTATTTCACAATATTACAGTTTTATTGTATTTTTATCACATAAATGCGGCCTTGGTAAAAAAAAAAAATAAGAGACTTCATTAAAAAATATTTAAAAATCCTACCAACCCCAAACTTTTGAACGGTAGTATACATTTATTTTCATATGACATATGAAACCATTCCAGGGAAAAATTTAAGGTATGAAGTAGGAAATACTGTGTTTGAGGAGCACAAACCTGCTTCCTTACCTTGAGATGTTCCTTGATCTGCAATATCAGAAATGAGAGAAAGATGAAGTGGTGAAAACAGAAAAAGAGAGCAAGGATAAGATGAGTGCAGACTGAAGATTATAATGTTTAACAAAGAACAAGACAAACTGTTTAGTACATTTATGCAAAGCAGATGTGAAGCCACTAGCAATGACAGTTTTTTTTAAATACATTCAATTCCCTTTAAACACATTCTCTTGTTTGGAAACGAATTTTCAAAACGCAATGTTTTCTGAAAAAGATAAAGCGTGTAATTAAATATGTTCAATTGAATATAAAAGAATTATGAGGTTGAAAACATGCTATGTATAAGAACACTGCTGTGTCTGAAATCATATTTGAATCATAATTAATGGCCTGCCTTGTGTAGTACTTTTTGTTTTAAGCATTGATGGAGTTAAAAAAAAAAGAAAGAAAGAAAGAAAACATAAAAGTTGAAATACCTCTGAATGAGTCCCTACCTCCTCTGTGGTATATGAGTAAATGACAGGGCGGTGCTTCTTTGGTGCATTTGTTGTGGCACTTCAATCTGACAAAAGAAAGCATGACAGAAATGTTTATTAGTTTGCTCTTGTAAAAGCAAATCAATGAATATTCAAAACAAACACTTAATATGCAGCCATTATTTTGAGGGTGTCAAAAGCCAGCAAGTATCGTAGTAACAAGATGCCGTAGTCAAGGGTGGTAGAGTGGAAACTATTAGGCAGGTAATTTATTTAAATAATCTTTTAATGATAATGATAATTATGCTCAATTTGAATGTTCAGACACTACTGCAGGCACAAAGTGTCTAGCACTGAATTCTAAAGAGGCTGTGATGCAAACAAAAACATCAAATCACAGCTTTACAAAGCTGAAATATTAGGAATTTTTGTTTTCAGAGATTTGAGTTGTTATAAGAAAGATGGTTAAAGAAATGATCATAGGTAGTAGAGTGTGTATTTAACATTTGACATTTATAGTCTACATGCTGTGATTCAGTCTGTAATTTCAGCATCAGACAGAATTACAAAAATAACTTAATTTTTTATGATCTTTTGAGCTTTAAGGAAACTTAACCGTAAATGTAAATGTAAATGTAAACGTAAACGTGGTGTTCGCTGATGCAAAACTCAACACAACGACTGCTAGGGATTGCTAAAAGTTGTTTTCATATATATTATGTATGGACCTTTTTCACATTTCTGGGTTTCTCAGCAGCAGAAGTAAACTTCTATAGCAGTGAATGGGAGACTACCACAAATATATATTTTTTGCATTCCCATTTGCTCAAATAGCAAAAGAAACACTCCATGATAGTGTTTTCATGACTTTCAAAAAAAAGGAAAAAATAGAGAGAGACTGATAACGGCAGTCAGTAGAGAGAACGATGTCAAATTTACTGTCACTCCCATAGACGCTGCATTAGAAACACTGTTTCTAGATTCTAGATCTTTTTTGTAGATTTACAATGCTGATGACCGTTGAAACGCGTCATCACAGTCTTGCAAAAAGGGTCTATTATTTTATGTATTATTTAATCATGTATTAAAAGTAATTTTGTCATAATTATTACTTATCTCATGCAGTAATTTAGACTTTTCATGTCATAATTTCGACTTTTATTTTTTTGTTTTTTGTTCTAATCATTTGACTTCTTGTCATAATTGATATCATAATGTAAACATTTTGTCAATTTAAACTTTTTATATTATTATAACTTGGTATATCATTATTTTGACCTTTTATGTCATAATCATGACTTTTATCTAATAATTTGGGCATTTGTGTCATCATTTCAACTTTATCTCATAATTATGACTTAGCATCATATCATTTAAATCTTTTTAGCTCATAATTATGACTTAGTAGCTTATAATTTCAATGTTTTATCTCAATGAGTGAGTGAGTGAGTGAGTGAAGTGATGTGTGGCCAAGTATGGTGATCCATACTCGGAATTTGTGCTCTGCATTTAACCCATCCAAGTGCACACACACACACACACACACACAGTAGTAAACACACACACACCATGAACACACACCCGGAGCAGTGGACAGCCATATTGCTGCGGCGCCCGGGGAGCAGTTGGGGGTTTGCTGCCTTGCTCAAGGGTCTCGCCTCAGTCATGGTATTGGAAGAGAGCGCTGTACATTCACTCCCCCCACCTACAATCTAAATATGTGTGTGTTAAAAGGTTGTTGTTTTTTTAGAATCACATACATCAAAGTAAAAAAAAACCAGATTACTTAAAGATTGTAACTTCTGTTTTATGTTGGCTTTAAAGAAAAAAATTAGGCTAAATACAAGTCATGCTGCAAGCTGCCACATAAAGATTTTTATCATCTTTTGATCTTTAAAGAAACGTAAGTGTTGTTTGTTGATGCAAAGTGCATCACAACGATTGCTAAAAGTTCTTTTTATATATATGATTATGTATTATTTTATGTATTATATATATGTATTACATTTTTTGTCCTAATTATTACTTATCTCATGCAGTAATTTAGACTTTCATCTCATAATTATGACTTTTTATCTAAGCTGTTTTTGTTTTAATTGTTTGACTTTTTGTCATAATTGTTCTTATATCATAATGTAAACATTATGTCATAATTTTTACTTTTATATAAATATAACTTAGGCCCAATCCCAATTCTATTTTATACCCCTTCCCCTTC